AAAAAAAAAAAAAAAAAAGAAAAGGGAAAAAAAGGGCCCAGAGATGATAGAATTCTCTGCCCCTCCACCTCTGCCCCTCCATCCCCTCAGCTAAAAGAGCTCATAAACAAATCCTTCTCTCCTTTTAGGGGAAGGAAACACCTCCCCACATTTTAAGATAGTCATGATCAGAGCAGACAGCATTTAACTAGTTAATCCAGCTCAGACGTAGCCTCCGGGAAGCTCTGCTGAGTCACACCGAACTATGGAAAACTCCGTTCTGAAAAACCCACAAATGTGACTAACGCGTCTTCGATGTTCCAGTTTTATATGTCAGGGACAATATGCGGTATGGGTTGAATCTGTAGCTCTTTTTTTTTCTTTAAAAAAAAACCAAACAAATGGCATCCTGTGATCCTTTTCCTTTTTTATTTTTATTTTTTTTACCTCGAGGACAATGCACACCGATAAAAAAGATGTACGTGGTATGTATCCGTGATAATAGCCATGGCAGAGGCAGTCTGAGGCGTATTAACAGCGGACTTATCTGTGGAGCGGCACCTCATGTGAGATGCATTTTCCTCTAGAGCCAAGTGGCAGAGAATTCACCTACACGGGTAGATAAGTGGCCCCTGGGCTCACGCGCAGGCTCACGCCAGGCCCGTGGCCAGGAAGTTTTCGCACCTACAAAATTGGCACCAGGCCAGGATTTCCTCTGAGCACAACAGAGCTGACATGTAAATCGGCGCTTTGATGCTTCATGGTCTGGCTGTTCTAACGTCACCTATGGAACCCAGGATTATTTCGGTGACATCTTTCTTTTCTCTCGGGGAGGAAGAAGAGTGTTTTCTGCCAGCGTCCATCTCACAAGCCTGGAGAAACGTTTGCGTGGCAAGTGGAAACATTTAGAGTTTACTTGAATTTAGCCATTATATATCTCTTTCGCTATTTTATTATAGATACCGTTATATATGAATATATATCATGATATAAATATATATAAAAATAAATATATATATATATTTCCATAAAACCTCCTCCCTCTCCCCTCAAAACCCTATAGGGCTAAATAACTAGGTAGAAGCTGATAGGATAACCTTGAATTCTCTCCGTCCTGGTGGCCTGGGGCTCAACTGCCTACGGTAAGCAAATGGAACACCCAAGGACGCCTGCAGGTTTCATCTGTGACGTGTGGACGCGACATGGTTAGTGATGCTCGGCTCCAGCCTCTGCCATCTGACCATAATCCCCCCTCTGCAGCCGCCACCTTCAGCTCAGCCAGTGGGGCGGCAGCGCTGTGACTACAGATTAGCTGTGCTCATTCAACTAGTGTTGACGGGGCCCTCCCCCTGGTTCCTTCCTGAGGCTGCCACCGGCCCTCCCTCTGGTTCTCAGGTGTCCTATCTTCCCTGTCTCAGCCTCTCCACCGCTGCCTCCCTTGCAGCCCAGCGCTGCTCACCTCCCGGAGCCTCCGTTCAACCGTCCCGTCCAGGCTCCAACCCAGCCATCCCACTGTTGGCTTTCTGTGCCCCTTATCCAGGCCTCTGACACACTGAACCTGTTGGACTCCCCTTGGTCTTGGGGTCCCTCCACGGCATTTCTACCTAGGTGCCTTCAAGCCCGGACACCTCAAGGCGTGGCCCATGTCTACCCCCTCCATGACTCAGGAGGTTGGAGTCTCGGTTTTTAATCATGGCAGGGCCACACCCAGGCTCACACGCACAGGCCTCAGGTCTCGTTGAAAGTCGCGATGTTGACACTCTCTACATGCTCCTCGAACTTGGTGATCTCTTCCAGCAAGTTCACCCCCACTGTGTGGCCCTCCACTGCACACTGGATCGGCAGCTTGTGGATGCTGTAGCTCACGGGGACCAACTTCTAACCCCCAAACCAGCCCCTGCAGTTGGATGGAGTGCTCACAGGCCTCTGACCGCCATAACCGTCTTGGCATCCCAAGGCTTGACGTCCAGCGGGCTTCTCGGTCTTCTCTGCATGCAGCCACAGCTGCTCCTCTCACCCAGGCTGCCTCCTTCTCCTCCTCCTCCTCATCGTTTCCATCGTCCTCTGCTGGTGTGGCTGCCTTCTTGGTGGGAGGCTCCCCCCGGGCGCCTGGGGGCTGCTGGGATTAGCCCGTTGGGTGGGTGGGTGAACTTTTCTCAAGTGCGTTCAGCCGGGCCTCTTTATTTTAATTGCTCACAGATAAACATTTTGGTTGTATGGATCCATCCAACAAAGAATTGTTTTTTATTCAGTGTTTTCACCACCACACAACTCAAGACTTGCTCAAACTTGGGATTCCTTCGCTGGCAAGTGGAAAATGTTTTCACTTCTAAATAAACTGTCTCTTCCTCCCATGCATTCTGGGAGTTAACATTGTCAGGCAGGCAAATCTGGAGGGTGTGTTGCAGGTTGCAGGCATTGATTCTCTACTTCCAGGCTGGCAGTCTGGGTGATGAGCTCTTCTAGTCTCCATTGGGCCCACTAGAGGCCCCGGGGCCCGAGCTTCCGACCAGGGGTTTCTGGATGTTCTCTCTGGCTCTCACAGTGTCGCAAAGGATCAGGGTGGCACCATTCTCCTGGGGGCAGGAGCCAGCCACAGGCCCATTCATCTGCTCGTTGTACTTCCCTTCTGCGTTGTTATATTTGAATTTGTCAAACCAGATCTTCTCCAGCACTGGGAAGTCTGTGGCCGTTCTTACACTAGCCAAGGATGCAGCCACCAAAGAGGAGAGATTAGTGGGGTAAGATGCTGGAGGAAAAAGCTCACGTCCCACTTCTGTGCTTCAATGACTCCGCCATTCCTTTCCCCGCTTTGACCTGATGACCCCTCAGAGGGCAGTCCTTTCCTTTCCTTCCCTGGTTGGACTTTTCCAAGGAGTGGTCAGCGTTTCTGTCTGCACATTCCTAATCTCTTGACGTCTAACTTCCGCTCTTTCCTCTTTATGAAAAATTTTGTTGAGGGACACAGATGAGGTTGTCATGCCTCGACCCAGGGGCATTTCCTCAGCCTAGTGGCAGGGTGTGGCCCATGTGACCATCCCATCGTCCTTGTGATGGACAGAATGGTGACCCTCCAAAGACGACCGTGTCCTCATCCACTGGAACCTGCAAATATATTACCCTCATGATGAAAGACTCTGTGGATAAAGGGTCTTGAGATGGGGATGGTGTCCTGGATTGTCTGGGTGAGCCTGATGTAATCACCAGGATCCTTCCAAGGGAGAGAGATGGGAAGGATAGTCAGAGTCAGAGAGAGTGATGCGGTGATGGAAGCAGAGGTGGGAGTGATGCTGGGCCAGGTCTGAGGAATACTGGCAGCTGCTGGTGGTGTCTGGAAGCTGGGAAAGGCAAGACATGTATTTTCCCCTACAGCTTCTAAGTACTTTACTTTCAGCCCCACAAGGCCCGTTTCAGACTTGCGGCCTCTAGGACTATAAGAGAGTAAGTCTGCGTTTCTTTAAGCCACTCAGCTTGTGGTGGTTTGTTATAGCAGCAGTAGGAAACCGATACATGTCTCAAAACTCTCTTCCCCCTGGATTGTCATGTCTAAGCATTCTGCTTCTTCTGGTCCTTTTCATTCTTGTCCATCCAAAATAGGGAGTTTAAGCCTCAACCCATTTCTCTTGCCTTGAATTATCATTTTCACACGAATATTTGTAGACTGAGTACATGTCTGTTTAAGGATTTCACTGTATTTGGCACGTCTGGGGACACCGGCCTCAGCCACACTTCCTTCTTCGAGAATCTTTCTCCCCACACAGGCCCTGATGAGTAGACAACAGGCCATTGACCCCACCCTCCTCACTTCTGGTCGGTGCAGGGACGCTCCCCTCATCTAAGGAGAGCTCACTGAGAAGCTGGCCTGGCCCAGAAGAGTTGGGCTGAGGGGAACGACCAGCCCCAAGGGACCCACAAAGTGTTCAGTTCCTGGTAGGTGCTGGGGCAGGAAGGCTGCGGCTGAGTTGTGTCTGGGTGGCGATAAGGGGCTGGTGAAGTTAGAGAACAGGAGAAACTCGAGCAAGGCTCCCTGGGAGGGCAAAAAAGCGGCAGCGGTAAGAGAAGCTGAGGGGCTACTCCCAGGCGAGGGGTGGAGTCTTTCTGGGAGCAGCCTTGGTTTTGCCTTCCCTGGGCTCAGGGGTTTCTGCATTTCTCAGATCTGGTTTTGTGGTCTCCCAAAATTCCATTTTTTTTTTTTTTTGAGTTGGAGTCTCACTCTGTCGCCCAGGCTGGAGCACAGTGGCATGCTCATGGCCACTGTAGCCTTGACCTGCTGGGCTCAGGTGATCCTTCCGCCTCAGCCTTCCAAGCAGCTGAAACGACAGGCACGCACCCCCACGTCTGACTAATTTTTTGACTTATTGTCGAGATGAGGTCTCACCAAGTTGCCCGGGCTGGTCTCAAACCCGTGGGCTCAGGCAATCCTCTCACCTCGGCCTCCCAAAGTGCTGGGATTATAGGCGTGAGCCACTGGGCCCGGCCTCCAAGACTCCTTTTTCACTTAAGCTAGTTTGCATTTATTTTTGTTCCCTGCCACCACAGATGCCTAGCTAGATTGATGTTTATTTGCTCAGTTGATCAAGCTAGAAACCTCTGTTGTTCTGGAACTTGGATATGTGAGAAGGAGGAAAACCTGGAACAGACCCCGAGGGACACCACTATTTAAGGAGAGAAGAATCTTCATAGGGGATGAGAAAGATCAGTCAGAGAAGTTGGAGGGAGACCAGGAGTGCACACAGAAGCATCCCCGGCGCAAAGGCAGGTGATGGCCAGAGACACAGAACGTCATCAGAGCCTGAACCATGTTGCTTTTGTTTCAATGTCAAGAGTGGTTTCGGATGACGAGAAAGTAAGTATCTTTTTAGAAATTCATTGACTCAAAACTGGGAACCCGAAGAACATTTGGGTGAAGGTGCCTTCATCCTCTGGGAAAAGTTAACAAGATCACAGAACACATGCAGGGGCAAGAAAGGCGTGAGGAGGGATTTCAACTAGCATTGACCTAGGGCTTCCCAAGGTCAAGGAAATGTCTTACTCACCAGTCTGTCTGCAGTACCTAGCTTAGTGCCAGGCATTCATTCATTCCCCCGCCCCCACAAATCTTTGTTGCGGTCTTAAGTGCCAGGGACATAGTAAGCATTCGGTTTATAATGTTTCATGAATTAAGCTACTTATATATACATGTCATGTTCTGAAGGGTGTGCATGCGAAAACTCCAGATTTGCCTGCCTGACAGTGTTAGCTCCCAGAATGCATGGGAGGAAGAGACAGTTTATTTAGAAGTGAAAATATTTTCCACTTGCCAGTGAAGGAATCTCGAGTTTGAGCAAGTCTTGAGTTGTATGGTAGTGAAAACACTGAATGAAAAACAATTCTTTGTTGGATGGATCCATGCAACCAGAATGTTTATCTGGGATCAATTAAAAAAATAAAAAGTGTGTCCCTTACCAAAAATTGTAGGGATAAGGCCACCCTGGCTTTGGGTCGAATGTGTTCCTGAGTGAAGGTGGATGCCTTGAATCTCTCAGGGCACCCTCTAAAGTCACAGTGATCCACATGGGTTCCTTTGTCTTCCCAAGTGAGATTTAACAGAGTCTCTGGATCTTTGTGGAAAATAAACTCCCTTCCTTTGTGACTCATTTTGGACAAAAGAGAAGAGGAAGTCGATGACAACATGCACTCCGCCGGGCACTCTGGGATCAACAGGACAGAAGTCTTGCAGGTAGCATGCTTGGGTTGAGGTGCAAACACACCGAGTGTTTCTGGGTCCATAGGAGCCCTCCAGGTTGGCTGCAGCTCGGCTTTGTCAAAGCTGATTAGGTTGCAGAGTGGTAATGCGGGCTTGTTCCTGGCGCTCATCTCACCTTTGTCCCCTCAACTCTGCCTAGGCCCATTCCTAAGTGTGAAAGTTCCGATTGTTATCTTGGCGATAGAATCCCATGCCTTGTCTGTTTTCTTTTGCCCTTATCCTCACATTTCTTTGAATGTCCTTTCATGGGACGCCTTGATCTGCTCCCAAAGAAATGCAATTATCAGAAATCAACCTCCCTCACCCATTTCTGCCCTAAGCAGCTTTTTGCCCACCGGTGAATTTCACATTGTACTGAGGAAGTCAGCAACTAATACTAATAACAATAAAATATGTTTGTATTTTTAGATGACTTTTTCCACTGGGGACTCCCCGGTGAGAGCCAGGCGCTGAGCAGAGTGAGGGTGTATATGAGTTGGAAATAGAGAGCGAGAAAGAGACCTGGCCGGTTGAAGCCTTTTCTTGACAGCTAATTTCCATTTTTTGGTATCAAGGGGTCTGTGCTAGTAATTGGCATGCAGATTGTGTCTGATGGGTCTGTTATAGAGAATAAAGGAATCTGCTAGTTAGAATAAGCCAACCCCAGGCTGATGGATGGGGCATAAGGAGGTCATTGCAAAAGAGAAATTGTGTGTGTGTCCCTGCGTGTGTGTGTGTGTGTGTGTGTGTGTGTATGTATGTTTCACAAGAATTCATACCCCCTCCTTTCTCCCTCTTTATCCAGCAAACTCTAATCTTTCATATTGCATTGAGACAAATGTTGCTTCATTTCTCTGCCTCACTCTGTTTTTTCCTCGAAGGGATATTTGATGGAACCCACTCTAGGTTTTAATAAAGTATGGGGGCAAAGGAGAAATTAAAGCAGTGTCATGGTTTGTTAGCAGCCCAGGATCGTCCTGGATGGGCCCAGGCGGCAAATTATACTCTGGAATTAATTGGCAGAAGGTAGTTCTCCTGCCCATCATTCTTAGTCCAGCAACTGTGGGATAGCCACAGGAAAATGGGTGCTGGTATCCATTTCCCCTAGACTTTGTTTAAGTCATGGGTCTGAGTAGTTAGCCATTTTCTTGGTCTTCTCCTCACGCGTTGATTAGGTAGGAGTTGTGCTGTTTACTGCTGCCTTGTAAGTCAGCTGCTTAGTTCTAGGCATCTTCCTGATAAAAGTGCTTCCAGTTCAGGTACCCTGCCGTGGGGCACAGAGGGTGACTGCTAGGCTCCCCATAGCTGTGGGGAGCCGGAAGAGAATTCGGCTTCTGTTTTCCAAAGCTCTATTAAAACCCCAAGCCACGACAGAGTTAGCTCTTATTAGCCCAACATATTGATCTTAGATAGACTACTATGTTTAGGGTAAGATTTAAAGAAAGGTAAAAACATAGGAAGAGCCAATTAACTCTGCTCACTTGTCCCTGGTTCCTACTCCCAGACTGCCGTAGATATGAACTTTCTTGGCTTGTGTGGGATGTGCCAGGGTGTTGGCCTCAATAGCATTTAGACAGCAGCCTTTCCTAAGAGCCCAGATCCCTGCCTTGTATAAGGGAGAAAACGACTTTATACACTGTAGACCCAACTCTGACCTTCCTGCACACAGAAGGGAAGCATTCCTCTGTCTGACTCCAGAAGTCCTTAGGAGAGAATTCTCCCAACTAGAAAAAAAAAAAAATTCCTCTTGTCTAGCTCTTTTCTCTCTGAGTATAAAACTTGAGTTTATCTCATTTGCTGAGATGGTTTTTAAAACTCCCGTTTACAGTATCTGTGGTCATTTCTACAGCTTTCTGGCCTTGTGTCAGATAGGACTTTTGGCAATAATGCGTGTGAGGCTTTTAAAAAAGTCTTTTCTATAAAAACATATTTAGACAGAACATCAGGAGGGGGAAGCCAAAAAATCTGGAACTTATTTATAAAAAATTGTGCATTTATTCTTCCATGCTTCCAGTCACTTTCAAAACACTCTCCCTTTGATTCAATATACGTATCAAGATGCTTTTTTCACTGCTCAGAACGGTTTTTGAACTTGCCACTTTTGATGCTCCTTAGTGCTCTAGACGTTTTTGTTTCCCCACTTCCACTTAGGCAAAACATTTTCTTTTGAGGCTTTTTTTTTCATGGTGGTGGGGGGAGGGAGGGGGAGTTGCTCAGGGTGAGACCTGGTGAATAGAGAAGGTGGAGAACGGGGGTCTCGCTGTTTTTGATCACTCAGCACAATGTGGGCGGGTGTGTTCGTCAATCACCCATCATGCGTTGGGCAGACACATTGAAAGAATCTCAAAAAAAAAATGTCACTGAAGCCAAACGCAGCCTCTCAAAGCAATACTAGCAGGTACACAGATGCCAATGGGTTCCTAGAACACTCACCTAGTGAGGAAAGCGGGTACTACTAGGGGCCCCCTCTCCAAAAGATAATTTTTTTTTTTTTTGAGTTGGAGTCTCACTCTGTCGCCCAGACTGGAGTGCGGTGGCTGCTCCCGGCCACTGCAGCCTCGACCTGCTGGGCTCCAGCCATCATTTCGCCTCAGCCTTCCAAGTAGCTGGAACTACAGGCATGTGCTACCATGCCCGGCTAATTTTTTTGATATATTGTAGAGATGAGGTCTCACCAAGTTGCCCAGGCGGATCTCGAACCCGCGGGCTCAGGCCATCCACTCACCTCAGCCTCTCAAGGCGCGGGATTCCAGGCTGAGCCACCGAGCCCGGCTCAAAAGATACTTTTTGAAAAGAAATACATAAGCCCCTCAAAGAAAATTCTTCGCTTTCTTGTTTTTTAAAGTGAGATAAGTTCAGTTGTGTCACGGAGGCTCCAGAAACCTTCCTTTGCTTCCTGACCAGATCCAGAGAGACCCCATGGAACCCATCTCTTCCCGAGGCGTCTTGCCCCTAGGATGCCTTAATAGGTGGATGCAGAAGCAAAGTCCCTTCTCCTATGTTCTTGGGACATGAAGAACCTTGAGCAAAGCTCTTCAGGGTTCATGGTGGCCTCATTCCATGCTCTGCTGCTGTTTCTTTGTGTTCTCCTTCATTTTCCTGCTGCTTGTCATACTTTCTGGTGACTCTAGGCAAAGCCAAGGCTAGCCTATGGGAATTAGAGAAAACTTTGGGTAACCTTTGTCATGTTATAAAAACGTGCCCCTTCCTTAGGGGGAGAGCCCCTGCAGGGTGCATAGAGCGGTGAGTGGAGCAATGACCGAACTTGACTCCCACTTGACCCCTTGCCAGGTGCCCCTGCAGAATGAACTCAAAAGGGTGCTGTCCTCTTCTGTCCTTTCACTTGTCAAGGGCGCTGCCATGGTCATGGTCACTATGCCTCATTTTCAATATCATTTTCTTATTGTGTACTTTGGGTTTTAAACATTTGTACCAAAAATTATCTTTGTGGTCTCCTTGGGCACATGCTTTTAAAGGATTGCTGGCTAAGGAGATGAGTTTGTTGGGCTTTCGCCACGTGGCCAGTTGGGTTTTAACAGAGAAATCAAAACCACTTCAGTTACTGCAGCAGAAGGAATTTAACGCAAGAAATTGATTAAGCAGGTGATAGAAAAGCTGAGAAGATGACACCCCATGGATGAAGCAGCTGAGAAACTAGCTCTGGCAGGAAGCCTCTCCCACCCCCCCAGGAAGCTGCTCCCATCCCCCAGGTTGGAGAGACAGCCATCTTGCAGCAGTGAGGCTGAAAGCGTAGGGACCAAAAGCCAGCAAGACCAGGATGGAAACATGGCAAGACAGAGCTCGCTTGGTTCCTCCATGGAACCATTAGAGTGTCAACCCCTTCCAAGATCACCTTTCTCCTGCTTTCTTCCTAAACAATAAATACTTGCGCTTGTCTGAATCTGTGACTTACATTTTCTGCTACTTACAGTTGCAAGTATATATCAAATGCAATATTTACCCAAGTCCTAAATAACCCATTTACATTGTAATTGCATTCCATTAAATAGCTGCATTTCTTCATTTTTAACAATCTCTTTGATATTTATTCATTTTTATTTATTTTTTAATATGTATTTTATTTAAAAGATGTGGGGTACAATTCAGGATTAGGTATACAAGTGGTCATTGTACAAGTAAAGTTTGGGCCTCCCTTTGGTTCTCACTTTTCTGGTTTGAGAACAGACATCTTTATTGATGAATCACTGCATTTCTATCCAACAAACCCTTTGAAGACTGAGACCGCCGTGACCTCTGGGTGCAGGTGCTGCCCCAGGTCTGCAGGGAAATTGGAGGTGCTGAGCTGTGACAGAAGCCAAGTGGGGGATGAAATACCCCAAAATGCAGCTCCAGAGGCTGCTGGTGGATGCTGTGATTGTGGGGTTCATTCAGCAAACCTAGCCTCTACGTTCCTGCCAGGGGTCCCGGAGGAAGTCATTTCCATTTCCTTTTGGCCAGGAGAGGACACAGGGCTTCCTGATTGGCCTGTGCAATATAAACACACAATTACATTATTTATCCCGGAAGCTCCCCTGGGCCTGAAATTCAACAATGCACTCAAAGATCTCCTCTCCTTTCTCTCGGGTTCTGTGATCTCAGGGCCGTGAGTTAATGAAAAAAAGAGATTCCTTGAGGCAAAGCCCCATTTTTTCTCTTTACGGATGGTTTTCAGACCAGGGGTCGGTTTTGCTTATTTATCTCAAGCTGCCGTGTGGTGTGTCTGTGGGGAAGTGTACCTTGCAGACATGACAGTACCAACGTTTGTTAAAAGGATTGCTTAAAAGTGGGTTCGTTTTGTACAGTTCCTGTGCTCAGCTTTGCTTTGCACAAACCACACTCAAGTACTTTCTAAACTGGTCGGGATTAGTCTCATAACAGTCAGCAAGTCAATACTTTTGGGTGGATTTTTGTCTTTTCTTTCACCTACTGTGTATTATAAAGCTTTTTACATTTTGTCTTACAACCACTTCTAATTCTTATTAGTACAGAGTACAAAAGTTATGAAGTTCCTATAATTAATCATCATCATCACCATCATAGCAGAATATTTATAGGAATTACTATATGTCAGACACCTGATGTAAGCACTTAAAAAAAACTAACTCATTTTAATCCTCCTAATACCCCTATT